ATGAATTAACAACGAAAATAATTTTATGGTTGGGGGTCACCACAACATGAGGAACTGTATTAAAGGGTCGCGGCATTAGGAAGGTTGAGAACCACTGCCTTGAATGAAGATTTGAATGAGTAAGTACCTAGCCTTACCAGCTCATTCTGGGTGTGAGCTGTCACACAAGGTTCCAGCTCTACCGAGGATGATGGAGCAGAATCTGTCCTACGTAGACCATTTCTGGGACATCAGTTCACCTGAAGCTGCCAGAACTCGGCAGTGTCCTCACCATAGTCAGAGGCATCTGGTCACCTGGCTTTGGTAGCTCCTGGTTTAGGTAGTTGCCTTTTAGGAAGAATCTAAGCACCTCAGTCCAGTTCATCAACCCTTGGGCAAATATGGCCCCTTTCCCTTTTGCTTCACCTGAGGAAACCTGGCTTCTTCCTCAAGCAGGTTTTCACGGCTTCATGGATGTCCCTGTTTCTCAGGCTGTAGACGATGGGGTTGAACATGGGCGTCATGATGGTGTAGAGCAGAGAGGACCCTTTGCGCAAGAGCTGAGATGAATTGGCTGAGGGTACAAGGTACGTGGCAATCAGCGTCCCATAAAACACTGCGACCATGGTGAGGTGGGAGGAGCAGGTGGAGAAGGCCTTTTGCCGGCCAGTGCCAGATGGGATTCTCAGGATGGTGGCAAGAATGCAGGAGTAAGAAGCTGTGATGAGAAGAAATGGGGCCAGCGTCACTGCTGAAGAGGTGGCGTAAGCCACGGTCTCGGTCAGCGAGGTGTCCGTGCAGGAGAGGTGCACCAGAGGAGTGAAGTCGCAGAAGAAGTGATCGATTTCGTTGGGTCCACAGAAGGTTAGTCTAGACAGCAGGACCATCGTGATGGCTGTCAGGAGGAAGCAGCAGAGCCAAGAGCCGGCAGCCAGCCGCACGCAGAGGGGGCCAGTCATGAGGATGGGGTAGTGGAGAGGTTGACAGATGGCCAGGTAGCGGTCATAGGACATCACCGCAAGCAGCAGACACTCAGTGGCAGCCAGGGACCCGAAGAAGTAGAACTGTGCCAGGCATCCAGCCACAGAGATGGTCTTCTGTTCAGCTATGATGATCAGCAACATCTTGGGGACAGTGTCGGAGGTATACCAGATCTCCAGAAAGGACAAGTTCACCAGGAAGAAGTACATGGGGGTGTGGAGGTGATGGCTGAACAAAACCAGCAGGATAATGAGGATGTTTCCAGAAACAATTAAGATGTAGAAAACAAGGAACATCAGGAAGAGGAAAATATTTAGCTCTCGGGTGGAGGAAAATCCTGTGAGCAGGAATTCCACAGGCGCTGTCCGGTTCTCCGAGGGCAGGACCACCATGCCTTGGCGTCTCTGGGAGCGGAGCATCCGGGATAAAACACGCAGGACGCAGACGCTGCTGGCTCACCCACAGAGCTGGGGCTGATAGTCCATGGTGGTCATGCCCCACTCAGGTGTTTGGAACTTCTTTCCACTTGGGTGGAGAAGTCGCATCTTTGTTTTCAAGGCCTGAAAAGGGAAACAGAAGAATTTGGTCTAAGAACTTGTGACCACTCCAAATTCCCCATCTTCTTCTCCCACCTGTTTTTGTTTTGTTTTGTTTTGTTTTGTTTTGTCTTCATCGGGAACAAGGTTAGCAGGAGATGGAAGAAACAGGAAGAGGAATACAAAGGGGAGAAAGCAGGAAGAAAAAAGAAAGAAGGAGAATCCCCGCTCTATGCCCTTCCTGCAAGTGCTACGGTAGCCGGGGAGTTGTGGAAGGAACGGAAGAAAATCTAAAAGGAGGGTGGGCATGCTCCGGAGGGTTTGTGAACTCCCAGGCAGGGGTTCCCCTGCCCCCACTCCCCCACTTCAAGCATGTTTATCTTTAGGGAAATGGTCGCTAGCATATCTAGTATGTTTTCCTCTCCTTTCAGAGTCTTGGTGAGTTGAGAGGTAAGTTTATGACTTCTGTTTTGTTTTCCATGATTCTATCCAGAGAAAATCCTACGACTGTGAGATTTGAGATTCGCAAACTCTTAGGTCACAGCCCAAGCGGGTGTCACACAAGGACAGGAGTGCTTTTTCTCACAATTAAAAAGAAAAAGAGTAAAAACCAACCATTGAAAAGATCTAGAGCTCCAGTCAATGGCAAAAGGAGCTTCAGAAGCAGGTGGCCCAAGGTATTGTGTGCAACCCACCAGCGGAGTAGAAGAGCCTTCTGTTCTTTCCAGTGAGATAAGGAAGCCCAAGGCTCCCCCTCATTCCATCTGGTTCAAGCCCTGCACCCACCACTAAGCTGGGGGCAGATGGAGAAACTGCCCCCAAAGCACTGCTGTTCACAGTTGGAGGCCAAAACCACTTAGCTGTTCTCAAGCCGGGTGCACTGGGTCTGCCCCCCTCAACCAGGAAGGGCCTGGCTGCTGCAGGCAAGTGGGCGGAGCTGGGAAAACCCACCGCAGGCACAGAGCACTGTGTGGGTGTGATAAGGAGGCAGTTTTTACAACAACCGTAAACAAAGCCAGGGCGCCGCTTTATGAGTCAGACTTTGAACAAGTTGTTAAACTTCGGAGACAGTTTCTCATCTGTGAAATGGGTGGGTGAGGAACTTAGCCTGTGCCCGGCATGCAAAAAGCTTACAGACACACAGCCTGGGAAGGCACTGCTCTGCAGGGCTGCCAACAGTACTTAAGGTTGTCCTTGCTCTGAAGGGGGCATTAGCAACAATGTCTTCTGCCGCACCCTGCAGTGTTTGTGTGTGTAAGAGCGTGAGGAATTCAGCGCCTCCTGCTTTCTCTCATCAGATGATGGCAATACATTGATCCTCTTTTAAAATTGACCCAAACAGAGGCACCAGGTGGGGAGCAATGGGGGGATAAGGACACATATGTAATACCTTAATCAATAAAGAAAAAAATTAACCCAAACAATTTGATTCAGGGATATATCCAAAGAAACCCAAAACATTAATTTGAAAAAATATATGCACCACTGTGTTCATTGCAGCCCACATGCCCATCAGTAGATGAGTGGATAAAAAAAGCTGTGGTACGTCTACATCATGAATACGACTGGGGTGTAAGAGAGAGGGAAATCTTACCTGTTTTGACATCATGGATGGATGTAGACAATATTATGCTAAGTGAAATGAGCCAGTCAGAGAAAGACAAGTACCATATGATTTCACTTATCTGTAGAATCTAATGAACAAAATAAACTAACAATCAAAATAGAAACAGACTCATAGATACAGAGAACAGGCTGACAGCTGTCAGAGGGGAGCGGGTGCGGGGCTGGGTGAAAAAAAGGGGAAGGGATTAAGCAAAACCAAAACAAAGCACCCAACTCATAGACACAGACAGAACACAGTATGGTGATTACTGAGGGTCAAGGTGCCTCCTTGCGCCGGCTGCTCGTCAAGTAATTTTAATTCAAAATAATCAATATGCCATTGTGGGCTATTGGGGGCTGCCTGCCGCCCTGCACCCCAACACTGCTGATGATGCTATTACTCGATCCCAGGCCACTCTAAGTGCTGGAAATGTACAGCTCGTCTATGCATCACCACAGCCCTGTGTGGTGGGTGCACTTGCGGTCCTTGCTTTCCGATGGTTCATGAACTCACCATGGTCATCAGCCGGGAAGCAGCAGAGGCGAGGTTCAGACTCACCCTGGATGGGTCGCTCCTAACCGCTGACACTACCATCGGCTGGCTTGCGTGATCTCACAGAGGCGGGCCGAGGGGAGGACTGTGTGACCTTCAGGGTGCCCGAGGCCTGCTGTACTGTTGAGCGCGACCCCATAAGGACTCACAGAGTCTGACAGCTGCTCCCTCTGCCTTTGGACTGCTTTTCCCGCTGCTGCTGCTTTCTTTTATAATATATTTTTTGTTGAGTTCAGAGAGGAAAGGAGAGGGAGAGAGAGAGAGAGAAACATCAATGATGAGAGAGAATCATTGATCGGCTGCCTCCTTCTCGCCCCCTACTGGGGATGGAGCCAGCAATCCGGGCATCTGCCCTGATCAGGAATTGAACGGGGACCTCCTGGTTCATAGGTGGATGCTCAACCACTGAGCCACACTGCCCGAGCTTCCGCTGCCACTTCCCCGTCCTTCCTTTATTATCTTAAAAGAAAACCAGGCCGGCCTATGGCCTTAAAAACCCAGGAATCCTTTCTGAGGACATTCCCAGCAGCTGCCACTCCCTCCCCCAGGCCTCACAGTCCTGCCCAGGGCTGTGCAGAAACACCTGGGAGAAGGGGCAGCAGGTGAAAGGAAGGAG